TAAACATTACTGCAAAATTTGAAAAGACTAAACCAAACTCTGTGCTTCCACTTGTACTAGGATTAGATTTATGCCTTTTTCTTCATTTGCTTCTCAAGTTTCTACCCAATAATTGTGATAATAGTAGAGGAGTAATGACGAGCACTTTGTATGTTGTGAACGCAATGACAGAAATCTATTTTACTTCTTCTGTAGTAGGAAACACATGCGTGTTTGAATCCATTGTAAGTGTTAATTTCTTAATTTCCTTCTTGCCCAGAGATACAGAACATATGCACAAAACTTCCTTAAAGTCACTCAAAGAATTGCCCTATTTTCTTTGTTTGTATTCCATTTAAAAATTAGAAAGAAAGAAAGAGAGGAATAAAGAGATAGAGAGAAAGAGAAAGAAAGAGGGAAATAAAGAAAGGAATGTAAACTATGCAGATGACAAATACATTGTTCCTTCTCTGCTGTTGGTATTTGCAAAAATACTGTAACTTGTATTATCATATAATATAAGAGTGCAGAATAAGTTACTTAACTAAAATATTATGAGCTAATTATCTAAGGAGAATAAAAATTTAGGTTAAATTCACTTTTAATTCAGTCAAAGACTAATATTTTATCTTGAAATCCTGAATAATGAGTGTGAATTGATACTTTCTTAGGAAGGATAAGTAGAAATTCCATAATTAAGGAATAAAAATTCACTATCAATTTCTTTTTCTAAGGAATCTTCCATCATCTCTGAAGAAGTAAGTCATAGTTCCTTTCATTAATTACATTTCAAGATAATTTTTCTTTTTTATATAGAGTCTAAAGTAAATATTTTGTGTTTTTCTTCAGAAATATAGACAGGACAATAATGTGTTCTTCCAAACCAGTCAGGTAAAATTTATTCATCCATGTCTTTTTGCTTGATTAATATGGTATCTTTTCTAACAATTATCTTACTATCACTTTTGCTCATATAAGTAGTGGTTTTTTCACCTCTGAGTGTGAAATAGGTGATGTTTTCGTGGTCTTATTTGTTGTGAAATTATGTGAAAAGGATTCGAAGAAAACATTTGTATTTCATTTGTGGCCCAAGGTTTCAAAATGCTATTTCTCTACAGATGTTCTTATATATGCTCCATCATGTTACCTTCTTTGTCCCAATTCTGGACCTCTTGACCACCATTATATACTATAAGCATCACTTTCTGCCAAAAAATTCAATATAGAGATGACAGAAAAGCACATCTCTGTTGAGCCAAGACTAGATCAGCTCTGATTTTGTCTGCTTTCAAGGAGGATACTTGCTCCAGTTCCCATTAAGATAAATATCTTAATTTCAAGGGGTGCCTGAGTGGCTCAGTTGGTTAAGCATCCAACTTCGGCCCAAATCATGATCTCACAGTTCGTGGGTGTGAGCCCTGCATCTGGCTCTGTACTGACAGCACAGGGCCTAGAGACTGCTTTGGATTTTGTCCCCATCTCTCCATTTCCCTCCCCCGCTCACACTCTGTCTCTCTCTCTCAAAAATAAATAAACATTCAAACTATTTTTTTAAAAATCTTAATTTCAAATCTGATCAAAATGTGCAGTATAAAATTGCTTTAAGCAAAATTAAAATTTAGTCAAGATGACAAATATATTCAATATCAAGAATATTTGAATCACGGCAAAACCTTGCACTTGTCCTAATTTGAGGACTAATTCGATTGAATATTTATTTGTATATGAATCAACATATCCAGAAAATACCTCCCCAGGTAGTTGCCAGCAAGATTAGAGACCTAGACCTGGTCCTTTTGTGACTTTAATATTTATAGTTTCTCAAAGATTCACCCTTTTAGTATTAACTAAATTTACTCTTTTTTTTTTTTANTTAAAATCCAAGACTTTTTATGAATCAGTTATCAATGAGATTTGCTCTTGGCAATAATCATTCTTTTAAAGGAAGTTCCTGGGTACTTCTTACAGTTATACTTCTATAGACAAAGATTCATGTAATATAATAGTATATATATATATATTTTTTAATATTTTTTATTTATTTCTAGGAGAGAGAGAGACAGCGTGAGCAGGGGAGGGTCAGAGAGAGAGGGAGTCACAGACTGAAATAGGCTCCAGGCTCTGAGCTGGCAGTCAGCACAGAGCCCGACGCGGGGCTCGAACCCACGAACCACGAGATCATGACCTAAGCGAAAGTCGGACGCTTAACCGACTATGCCACCCAGGCGCCCCTAACTAAATTTACTCTTAATTGAAACTCTCTATCATCTCTACCCAAGTCACTGGTTTGATTAACTTAAGTATATAATTTTTAATATACATTAAAATAAGTGCATATTAAAAGCATGAGGAGCATATGTAAAGTATATTGTTGTCTTCCCATTGGTTTATCAAGGTAATTTGCAATAATTATTTCTAAAAATCAATTTAAATGCTCTATTTCAATACATTTTGATGTGTCCTACTAATTAAGTAGGTAATAACTATGGAGCACATATAAAGTAACTACTGATATTAAAAAATAATGCTGAAGGTTCGATGGGTTTTTTTACCAGATTTTTATTATTATATTATCTTTTAATTTCTCAGGAACCCATTGGCCGTTCATCTAGTGAGGTAAGATCTTGTTTATTTTAAAGCCAAAGAACTACTTCAAAAAACAGCAGCTTTCCATAAGTGTTAGTCAGTACTTTGATAATTCTTACCAAATCCATGTACAAACATTCAAAAGATGTAATGGAAAAACTCTCAAAATATTTTTGGTGGCTGAAATTAACAGTCTTCCTAAGAAACATTATTTGTTCTACCCTGTTCTCTCTGAAAATATGTATATGAATCCCTGGGAAACTGCATTTTAAATCAAGCCTGTGCCAAATCAAGAGCATGACAATTGCTTTCACTATAGCTTCACTTTGGAAACCTTCTCAGGGTTGTTTGGAGGAGCAGTTCACACAGTCTGTCACCAGATAAGTAATTTCAGAAGCACTTGAAAAATATGAAAAACACAGATTCATAGGCCCAACCTCATACCTACTGAATCAGAAAGTTTGAGCTGGAGCTAAGCAATCTGCATTTCAAGCAAGCTGCTAGGTGATATTGATCACATTTAAGCTTTGGGAACCACTTTAAGGAGCTTGAGTTGAGGGTTTGAGTTAAGATGCGTAAATCATCAGTACAAGAAATACCTTCTGTGGTGGCAAAAGCCACAGTGTGAGAGTGTTCTGAAGAAGCAGGACCTTCATAGGTCATGGTCCAGACCCTTGTGCCTTGGGCACTGCCTGGATGCTTCCTAGCCCATGCCTTGGGAAGCTTGCTTGATGTTTTCTCTACTCCTAAGTTCCAGATGCAAATTGAGAGTCTCAGGCCATTCCTGTCATTTCCACAAAGAGCCACCAGGTCTCATTTCCCACACAGCTCACCTGGTCTATTTTGCTATTTGGGGACACCTATCTACACTCTGTCAGCATGTAAAATTGTCAATTTAAGATTGATAATGTCTTTGAAATAAGACATATTTAGAGTCATGGTTTTATGTTGGCACAAAATGAGAAACACAGATGTAAAGATAAATATTTTAACTTACTTAATTTCTAATAATATACCAGAATTCTCAGGCTAGTAGCTTGGATCCTGGTCATTCAATTATTGCACCTCGCTTTCTATCAGATTGTTTGATAACTACTGCTACATCATTTAAATAAAGCTATTTCTTAATTTGTCACACTAGGAAACTGTTGATGTCCCTGCTGATGTAAGTAATTATTATTTTTAAAAATTAATTAATTAACAACATTGTAAAATAAGGTTTTTCTTCTTTTTGTCTAATTTGTGCCTTACTTTTTAATAGAAAATTGAGCTGACTGAGGAAGAAAAGGTCTACCTCAAACAGCTGGTAATTTTTCAGATAATTAATTATTCCCAGTGAAAGAATCTGTTTTATAACTCTTTCTCTCCCACATGATCATTGATTGGATCTTTTCTATGAAATAGTTCACACCAAATTTATCTTAAAAATTATGTTTCTCAATTGTTGTGACTAGGATATGTAAATATTATCTTAACAAACAGAAGTTTGAAGTAAAATGTGCTATCCAATAAATTAGGAAGATTTAGAAGCCTCAGGAAGATTGTTCTTAAATTTAAGTGAACCATCGCTATGGTCCAAAACCATATAATTACTCACTGAACTTCTCTTTCAAGTAGCAAAACCTGAAATGTTAAGGTAAAAAGCTTTAAACTATTATCCCAACTGTAAGAGGTCTGGTAACCCATCTCTGGAGTTACATATGTAAACTATTTAACAGAATCCGGGAAAAACAAATATGTGAACCAAAGGTACCAATTGATATTGAATGTATACACATAGGAAAGATATGCTTTAAATTTATTCTAACAGGAACCGCTTCTCATTGAGCATTTAAAAACAAGATCTCTAAAATGAAACCATTTATTTTTAGAACATTCTAATTGCTTTACTAGTCTGTCTAGATATTTCTCATAACATTTTTTGTACCTTTATTATCATAATCATGTATTCCTCTGACACTTATCCACACACAATTCTAAAGAGATATTGACTTTTACACACTGATTTTCTTATCATCAGTATGAACTAAACCTTTCTAAGAGTTAAGACGGTGTGTTGAGTGATTTCATCTTTCATTTCTACAATAGTGTATGGTCAAGCATCCATACCCAAATCAAAGTAGAATTTGTTCAGCTAGACATGCGTGACCTGTAGGATCCAAACCACTCCATGCATATCATCAGTTCACTAAAGGGTAACTTCAACACAGGCACAGGACCAGCCCAGGGCCATGGGAGTAGAAGCTAAGTGTTCTCTGACTCCAGAACCAGGCTTTATCAACCAGCTATGGAAAGAGAAATGACAAACTCAGACAGTGGTTTTGTTTGTTTGTTTGTTTGTTTGTTTGTTTAAATGATTCTCCACTCCGTTTCTTGTACTTTTCCCCCACTGTTTACATTGAATTATTTTTATCTGGAAGCCTTCAAGTAGCTACACTACGTATTTAATTCTCAAGTTCAGTTATGTCATCCTTGTGTGAAGGCCAAGCTAATCTTCTCTGTATCATTCCAGTTTTAGTGTATGTGCTACAGAAGCAAGCACTGAAGTCCACTCCATGAAAGGAGACACTATAATAGTAAATCTTGTGTTAGAAATGTCTTTTGCTTGGTAAACTTGGCATCCTTGAGATTTTATGTAAATAAAGTTTAAATTCACTTGGTTTTGTCCATATATGCTCTGGCTCATAGAGAAGATTCCACTCGATGTTAAATATTGATATATTTCTTTTCTTACAGAGCAAAATCAACCAGTTTTATCAGGTGTTGAATCTTCCCCAATATCTCCAGGCTTATCATCAACATCACATAGTTAGGAACCCATGGAATCATATTAAGACAAATGGCTACCGTCTGTTTCCCCTTCTGGTGAGTTCTACTTTTTGTTTGTTTCTGATGTTCTGTGAAAGAAAAAAAAATTAATATGAGAAAAATAAGGTGTCAATCCCTTTAAATGTAGAAAGTACTAGAAACTTAAATGTAATTCTTTAGGTCAGAAATGAAGTCGCAAATTATATACTCAAAACACTGAAAATATAGCACTAGTAACTAACACCAATTTTGAGTAAGAATAAGTTGAACTGTCCTAAGTATTCATTTCTAGGTCATTTTACTCTAATCTGTCCTTTGTCTTTGACGGAGGTGGAAGGAGAGAGTATCATCTCAGCTTTACAAAGGGAACTGAAATGAAAACATGAAATCATTTGTCAACACTCCAGTTAACATCTCCACTTACATTCATAAATCATCTTTGGTTAAGGGACTTTTACAAACACAAGGACTAAGTGGCAGAACAGGAAACTGAACATAGGAGCAGGCACTTAATTGTAAATACTGTGAGATATGGAGTCAGAAGTCCAGGAAAGGAGTGCCAGGTCTGCCATGAACAAGACACGAGACTTCAGGTAAATCACCTCCCTTTCCGTGCTTCCTATTTCTTGAATATGAATGATTTGCTTAGGTGGCCCATGGAGGTTAAAGATACCATCACCACCATTAGGGGAAGTAAGCTTTAGTACTTTGGTTTAAATGCCACATGCCTAGGGAACATCTTAAAGGTCAAAATGTTTTTTCATATGAATGGAAAAATTTGAAACTTTATCTATTGTGTCCAGAAGATGGCAGATTTGGGAAGCAAACACTACAGATTCTGTGGATCTGAGCTATTAAACAACAAAGAATGTAGTGACCCCACCTGACATAGGATGGAAAAGTCAGCTAGTTTCCATAATTTTTATTCTGGGTAAAACAGGGAATCTATGTGAAATCATAGGTCAATATCGTGATAAATTTATCAGTTTACATATGGAAAAAAGCTTAAGTGATCTTTTGTACATAAAAATAGCTATATATATGTAATATGCCAACATTATTATAATGATCATTTAAAGGGAATTTCTAATTAGTCCTTTACCCTGCAAAAACTAGGAAAGTCCATACCAACCCCACTCCTGACCCTAAGTTTACATCTCAGAAGATCACCACCTACCTAAGGCACTCAGAATCTTGCCTGCCTCATTTACTTGATGAGATTTGAGGTCTCCTTAACATTAAAGCCAATTCAACAGTAAAGGGAAGGGAGAGAATTGCATATGCTAATGTATTCCATGTAGGAAAAGAGAAGAAAGTTACTTCGGTGACCAATCTTACATGGGACAATTGTTTCTTTTTCCATAGACTTTACTAGTCTTAACCACATTCTTCCCTTTTTTTTTTTTTTTTGATTCTGGAGGTGGCCTCAGTCATTCCTTTCAAGCTACACTGTTGCTCAGCTAATAATAAACTGTAGTCACTAGCAGGTGACTAATATACAAGGGCTTCTGCCACGGTTGGAATATGCTTTCATCTTCAAAACTTCTCTCTGATAGAAAACACTTGCCTAGTATTATATTTTTAGCATTTATCATAAAACTAAGTATATATTTCCTATGTGAGAAATACATAATTATGTTAAATTACTGTGGTATTTCCACATATACTATTGACTATATATATATGTATGTATATATACTAATTTCCACATATAGTATTGTACAAGATGTGGCAACTTTAATATCTATAATGCAACACTCAAAGCATCTCCTAAATATAAAAATACATTAAGTTAGAACAATAATTTCTTTCATGTAAGGAGTTATTTGTGTATTACTATGTAAGAAACCACAAGTCTTTGGCAAAGGAAGCCCAGTTCAACTAAATTCCTCCTGAAAAGGGAAGGGCATTTCCACATAATAGTCACTTGATTAGACCATAAAATTCAAACTATGTTTGTTTTTATATAGGAAAAAGAGTACCTCTCCTCCAGTGAGGTGCGGGGCTTTCCTTTGAGGACAGAAACATGGCATCCAGAAACAGAGATTAAGGTCTGTGCAAGACTGCCTTGATTCTCAATTTCTATTTTTCCTGCATCAGTTTGGTTAGTGAATTGCAGAAAATTAAAATACAAATTGTGGCGATGATCAGAAACATTTAGGGGAGCAGACTAAATCCCTACATAGTCAAAATTAGCAAGGTTAGATTTGTGTCCTATGGGACCTAGCAAAAATGTTCAATGCCACTTTCTTTGCTAGAGGTCACTGAAAAATAATATGACTCCAGGAGTCCTGGTGCCCATCTTAAGTTTTACAAAATGGCTGAGAGGAATCCCACTTGGAGTAAGGACTCAAGTTTATACATTAAGTTCTAATTTCCAGATATCTTCCTACCAACGGTGCAGAAGGTAATGTCTAAAGACACCGTGAATACCACCTAAGGATATGCCTACTTTTGTCCCTTTGTGTTTCCTTTAAGATAAAATGGGAAACTGCTTGGGGTAAAATGACATTTTATATGAATAAATAAGTGAAATGCTTTCTTTCTTTCTTTCTTTCTTTCTTTCTTTCTTTCTTTCTTTCTTTCTTTCTTTCTTTCTTCCTCTCTTTCTTTCTTTCTCTCTCTCTCTCTTTCTCTCTCTCTCTCTCTTTCTCTCTCTTTCCCTTCCTTTTTCTCTCCCTCCCTTTCTCCCTCTCTCTCTCTCTATTTCTTCCTATCTTCTTTCTTTTCTCCTAAGGAATCTACCAGCATCTCCCAGGAGGTAAGTCAGAACTACTAAGATTAAGTCAACTTTTAAAGTTAATTTTAAATTTCATAATGGTTATAAAATACATGTTATGTGCCTTACTTTAATAAGTACAAGACTCAGGGGCGCCTGGGAGGCTTAGTCGGTTAAGCATCTGACTTCGGCTCAGGTCATTATCTCACAGTTCGTGATTTTGAGCCCCATGTTGGGCTCTGTGCTGAGAGCCAGCTCAGAGCTTGGAGCCTGCTTCGGATTCTGTATCTCCCTCTCTCTATCTGACCCTCCCCTGTTCATGCTGTCTCTGTCTCTCTCCGATATAAATAAAACATAAAAAATTAAAAAAATAAGTATGACTCCAATAATGAACTAAATTCTATGTTTCCCATGAGGAAAAGTGATCTCACCATTGCGTGGTTTTGATTTTTATAAAATCATGACTTTTTCATTTATTGTGACTATATTTGCTCTCGTGTAAGCAAATGCTGATCAAATATTTTTCCTGAAATATTTTCTAATAGAAATTTTACATAGAAACCACTCAAAACATAGTTTTGAAGAAATGCTTCTATATACAAAAACCTGCTTAATTCATTAAGTACTATATTCCTTATAGGATCCAGGGCTTGCGATACAACAATAAGTAAAAAAAGGAAATCATATTCCACCTGGAGCTCACATTCTAATGAAACACAATCAGTGTGTTTTCATGGTTGGGGAACCCAGATACAACTCAAAGAATGGAAATGAATGCATTATTCTTTCTTTATGAAACATTGGTTTTCTTGTTGTATTCCAAAGGAAATTCTGTATAACTGGTAGAATGAAATGGGTTTAACTCTTCTCTTCTTTCTTTAAGGAAACCTCAGAGAAGATTGTTGATAGGGTAAGGTATTTTTATTTACATACTACTACATCTGGTTTAAAATGTTAATGAGAAGTGACATGCCTGCAGATTTGGTCTCTTAACAAACCATAAAAATGTCATTTTAATTGCATAAGAAATGCAATTTTTGTCTTGCCCCTGGACTGTATTTCCTATCATTGCTCTCAATTCTCCCAATCCAACATTTTCATTTACATCTAATTAGATTTTCTATCTTTTACATCAATTTTAAAAATCAGACTGATGTTTACAATTTTTTGAAAGACTAATTCTTTTTCTGAGGGTATTCCTTATATTTGCCTGCCATAGTACTGGTCATGCTGCTAACACACACTTGCCTACCTCACTACTGGCAATTCAAAACAAATGGCAATGCTGTAGACTCAGCTTCTCATGGTCTTCAGATTTTGGTTGTTTTTTACCCATTGTTTTAATGTCTTAAAGAAGACTTTTAGCAGCTCACTTTATAAATGAAACTCTCTTTTAAAATAAGGAAACAACGGATCCATGCAGGACAGCACATTTTCAGCTCTTATGTTATTTCACAGAAATTAGAAGCTGCTAACTTTGTAACATATATCAAAATGTACAACAAAAATAAAGAAAAGCCATATAATAAAAATGCTCAACTCAGTTACTTGGAGGTTTGATACTAAGTATTACATAGCCAAGATGAACCGTTTTATTGCACCTCCTTGGATAAATATGCATCTTTACTTCTGACTCTTTGGAAACTTCACTTTTTAACAAGAGCCACATAAGCACAAGAGTCTGGGAATCGCTTTCACAATGGTTTTCCCCACCCTACATGATTTAGGAGGTTGGATAGCAGAGTGGGTCATATAAGCCGTGTAGGCAAGTGGTACCCTTTGTCACAGAAAGAGCTGGGTGGGGAGCACAATGGAAAAGTTGCTGTGAGGAGGTGAAGCACTGATGTGGCCCGGTGTCTAGTAGCCTGTGGCACAGACAGAGGGCTTCCTCATCAGAGCCCTAGGAGTCATATTAGGAATCATTCCTGTCCTTTCGTGTCTGAATCTCAAACTGAGAGCCCATGCCACTTCCAGAAATGACCTGCAGGCTCTCATTTCCCTCACACTTCACCAGG